ACAGCAGTGAAAGCCCTAAGTGCTAACCACTGGACCACCAGGGAACTCCCCAGTCTGGCTTTTTATGGAATGGATTGAGTCCAGAGATGGTACAAACCCATACCCTCCCCAGAGATACCCCAAGTGGATGGGGAGGTGGGGTGGGAGTGGACCCCATATTTCATGATGGGCTTCTCTTCTGTTCTCTCCCCCAGGCTCCCCTGGCCTGCATGTGGATATTAAAGGATGGCCCCCTCCTTTCTCCCTTCCTTCCCCCTCCAGTAATGGAAGGCTATAAAATGTCTATTTACCCAAGACACCAGAATGACTCCTCTGTGGCTCCACTAATCTGGTGATTTGGTGCTTCTCTGGTCTCTCAGGTAAATACGGATGGAGGCTTTTTATAAAGGCGTATTATTTCCCTCGTTAAGCGTGTGTCTTGGCACATGCGTTATTTACCTGCCCGACAGTAATGGCTGCAGAGGAGCCACTGTGTCTGTTGTGTAAATGCTCTGCCCAGAGACGATCCTCCAGGGCTGTGGCGCGGGCCTGCTCCTCCGAATCGGCTGTTCCCTCTCCCCTGCCCCACTGGGAGGCTGCTCCCTTTATTTTGAGCAGAGAGAATCATTCATTTTCCTCTTTGCCATAGGCTACTTACTACCTTTAATTTGCTAGGAGAAGGAAATGGGTGTCAGAGTAAATGTGTGTAAATCTTGGTCTCGGGTGAAAGCTGGTGTGCAAATAGATATACAGAGAACATAAACGGTTCCTTTTGAGTTCTGCCTGTCAACTAGATTCTCATAGTCCCGGTTGAAGTCCAGGTTATCAACTTAAATTCTGCAGACTTGTGACTGAAGTATAAAGACATCAACAGAAAGGGGAAATCCCTAAGATTTCAGCGGGTAGACAGGCAGGTGGGGCGCCTCTGCAGGGAGTGCAGGGGTGTTTCTGGAGCAGGTGCTAGCAGTGGCAGGAGTGCCCAGTGAGGGGGCATTGAGTGGGGGCACTTAGGATGGAGACTGTGCATTGAGGGCTGGTTTTTGCCAGCCTCCGGGCAGCCTACCTTCTGTAGGCAGTACGTGATTATGGCTCCTTCATGTAGTGTTCCATGTTGCCTTTTTAAAAAAATAACATTGCATGTGGCTTAAAAATTTTTTTTTTTAAAGTTCGAAATAGGCCAGATTTATATAAAGTTAGAAGTAGAGTACAAAGATTTTTTTTTCCCTGAACCATTGAGTTGAGTTGCCTACCTAACACTCCGTCACCCTAAATACTTTGCATGCATTTCCTGCGTGCAAGGAGATTCTCCTACCTAACCATAGCACAACCATGGAAATTAACGTTGATAATGTTACCTCCATTTAATCCTCAAACCCCATTCAAGTTTTGCCAGTTGTCCCAATAATGATCTTTGTAGCAAAATGATCCAGTTCAAAATCATGCATTGCATTTAGTTACCAGGTTTGTTTAATCTCTTGTAGACTTTTCCCAGTAAAATTTCCTTGATATTCATGACTTTGATACTTTTGAAGATTACAGGCTGGTTATTTTGTAGAGTCTCTCCCATTTAGGGTTTGTCTGGTATTTTCTCATGATTAGATTCAGGTTATGCATCTAATGCAGGAGACCCTGGTTCAATTCCTGGGTCGGGAAGATCCACTGGAGAAGGAATAGGCTACCCACTCCAGTATTCTTGGGCTCTCCTTGTGGCTCAGCTGGTAAAGAATCCACCTACGATGCGGGTGACCTGGATTTGATCCCTGGGTTGGGAAGATCCCCTGGAGAAGGGAAAGGCTACACATTCCAGTATTCTGGCCTGGAGAATTTCATGGACTGTACAGTCTATGGGGTCACAAAGAGTCAAGCATGATTGAGCGACTTGCACTTCATTTCATGCATCTTTGATAGAAATGTCACAGAAATGATGCTTTGATTTTTCTCATTGCATCCTATCATGTGATGTATGATTTTGATTAGTCCCATTATTGATGATGTTCATTTTGCTCACTGGATTGGGGTTATGTCTGCTAGGCTTCTGCACTGTAAACTTACTTAATCCCTGTTAATAAGCATTTGGTGGGTAGATACTTTGAAACTATGTGAACTCCCTTGCCAAACTTTAACTTTTAAAATTATTCATTCATTTATTTTTATCTTAAGGCCTCATGGTTTCCTTTTTTTATTCAGTGCATAATAATCCATTAATATTATCTTGCCAGTGGGAGCCCCTTCAAGCTGGCTTCTGCATCCTTTGAGTGTCTCCCTGCTTTTTGGCACAACAAGATGTTCTAAGCTCATCTTGTACTTTCTCTGCATTAGCCTTGGAATCGGCCATTTCTCCAAAGAGTGTTGTTTCTCCCTGGCCCTTCAGTAAACAGAGCTAGAAAATATATATACATGTGTCTGTATATTTGTGTGTAGATATATACTCATCCTCAAATTTACATCTAGCTTTATTTTTATAGCATATATGTCAGAAACCTTGAGTTCAGCTCCAATTCCAGTTGAAGATACTTCCAGTTCCACTTTGACATACAGATGTTTCCATATTAGCAGTGAGAAGCCTGGTCCCATTGCCCTTAATGGGATCCCCTTTTGGATCAGTCCCTCTGTATGTAACTAATCTCCCTTTGTTGCTACTGCCCTTTCCCCCTCTTGGGTGTTTGTTTTACCTACCCGTGGCTCCCACGTCAGGCTGCTCCTCCCTCTGGCAGTGGATGCCCTTCATACCCCACTGGGGCTGTGGCGTGCTGCATCACACCTTCCTGCCTCTTTATGGATGCTGGTACCTACCCCCCGTCCCCAACACATGTACTCTTCTGTCCCTCCCACTGCAGCTGATGGAGACTTCTGTTTTCCTCTTCCACAATTAATGGCTCTAAAGCTATTAGGCTGAATTTTGTAGGAAGAGAAGAGCTGCCCTCTTTTTCTTGACTTGAGTTGAACTCGATTTTTAGAAGTAAGGGAAGTATGGAACCTAGTGACTGCACACATGTGGAGGCCTGGTCTACTGTCTGCTCTCAAGGATTTTTTAAAAAAATTTTTTAAAATTATTTTTTTATTGGGGTGTAGTTTTACACTGTTGTGTTAGTTTCTGCTATATAGCAGAAAAGTGAATCAGCTATTTGTATACATAGATTCCCTCTTTTTTTTTTTTAATTTTTTTTTTTAGATTCCCTCTTTTTTGAATTGCCTTCAAAGACTTTTTACAAGAGAGAAACTTTTTGATGTGGGTGAAATCAGTTGAGAAAGGAAGCGTTGGCCATTGTGAGGACCTCTGGCTATGAGTGTGTTGTCTGTGGCAGGGGATAGGGCATATAGTATCTGGTATGGGAGGTCTAGAGCAGTCTGGGGATGCAGAAGATGTTGATGTTACTCTCTGAGATTGCCTTATGCATTGGGTTTATAGGCTCAAAGTATGGGTGTCCTGAGTTGGCCAGGTGGGCATAACCCAACAGGATGATAGTAATAATGGTAAGCTAATACTTACTGAACCCTATGTGCCAAACCCTGCTCTCATTTCACTCTCATTTAAAGAGTAGGAGCTGCTATTGTCATTTTACAGGTGAGGAATTGAACAGAACTTGCCCAAGGTGCCATGGGCAAGCAAATAAGTGGTAAAACCCGGATTCAAACCCAGAAGTGCTCCTTAATCACGATGCTTATGGTCTGATTGACCATAAACACTTTGCGTAGTATATATACATACTGGAAAACATTAAAACTTTCAAAAGTACTTATACATGGCCTGACTTTGAGGACTTAGAGAAGAGTTCTAAGGCACTGAGGGACTTTGAATCCAAACTAGAATGTGTAATCTGAGCAGACTGCTGTCTCCCATGTCAGCAAGGCTTCCAGTACTGTTCAGGAGTGGGTGACGTGAAGAGTTGAGACAAGATCCGTCAGAATGGGGCTTCAGAAAGCTTAAACTGTGTCTGTTTCCACATTGAACAGCAAAATTTCTTGTTTAACTTTGAGGATTAAAGTTGAGGGAATTTGAGTTTTGGGTATGAAATGGGAAAAACACAAACTTCCCACTTTATTCCTCTTTCTTTTTTTTTTAGGAAGCTTGAGTTATTTGTGAGTAAAACTGAGACTTTGATTTTTATATTTCGTTAGCCCTCCAAGGAGCAGACATTCTGCAAATTTAAAGGGAAAACTTGAAAAGTGATTTGGATTTTTTTTTATTTGCACATGTTCACTCAGAAAACTTTACTAGATTTTTAGCAATGCTCCCATTACTGCCACATCTGGGTTTTCTCTTTTTCTTCCCTATTTAAAAAAGTCCTGCAGTCATTCAAGGCCTCTAGTAGAGAGTCTAAAGGCAGGGGAGAGAAAGGGCCCAGGCTGTTGCCAGCTGCGCTCTGCAGGCGTCATTCATTCCCCCAGGGTGCCACTCACTGTCTGGGGGCTGGGGAGTCACCAGACTATGGTGAGCAAGCTCCCTCTGATGACTGTGCCTGCTTTCCAATTGGAAGAAGGGAGGCGGGTATATGGAGACGTCAAGATACAGAAAGGAATGCCAGGGGCAAGTGGTTGGGAATGGAGCTGAGGAGAGAATCCTGGGCATTTTCTGCTGTTTGTCTGAGTCTGCTTAGCTCCCAGGACTGATTGTGCAATGGGGTCACCCCAGGTTACTTTGGGAAACTTAGCTTTAATGTTAACTGTTGCCACCTGAGAAGTGACCACAGCATTTTTGTGTCTCCTCTCTTTTGAACTTCAGAGCTCCACTTAAAGATCAAGGCCAGTGCTGCATCTTGTTTTGAGATGGTCTGGGAGACTCAGAGCTGTCATAATGCTGCGGGGGCCAGTATTTAGGGTCTTGAACTTCAGTCATGAATACTGGCGTTTAGAAAAGGGGCACAGAAACACTGGGGAGTGGTTCATGCTGTGTGAATATTCCTGAAGACTAGATGGAACAGGGCCACGGTGGGAGGGAGTAACCCAGACTCTGTTCTTTTTTTTTTTTTTTTTTTCCTCTTTCTTTTCCTTTTTTTTTTTTTTAACTTTCCTCCCCTAAGTTTTAGATGCTTCTGGATGTTCAATGCTAGCACCTTTACAGACTGGAGCAGCTCGATTTTCTTCATATTTGCTTTCAAGAGCAAGAAAAGTGCTGGGCTCTCACTTGTTTTCTCCTTGTGGTGTTCCGGAGTTCTGCTCCATATCCACCAGAAAGCTGGCGGCCCACAGCTTTGGCGCATCCATGGCGGCAATGATGTCCTTCCCTCCCCAGAGGTATCACTACTTTTTAGTGCTGGACTTTGAGGCCACGTGTGACAAGCCACAGATTCATCCTCAGGTAACCGTTGCATCATTGCTTCAGCAAAGGTGGGGTGGGCAAGGAGGGAGGGAGGAGAGACTGGCTTTCTGGGATGCAGAGGCACTTTCTCTTGTCCTCTTGGCTTTTAGCTACACATCTGGAGTTCCTGCCTAAGAAGCAAGACTTGACTCAGGCATCCTAGGGTGAGGTAGACCTGAGAGGTCTCTGGAGGACAACTGGGCACACTGTTTCTCTCTGGTCTCAGCCTTTGAGAATCAAAATATTTCCTTCTGCCCCATCCTTTCTCTCTCCTTTCCCTTCCCTCCTTCCTTCTCCTGCTGCTGCTGCGTGTTGTTTTAAGGAGTACTGTGTTAGTCAGCCTCCAGGATGGCCCCCAGTGATCCTGGCCTCCAATGTTTCCACCTGTGGTACTTCCCCTTCTACACTGAGTCAGAGCTAGCCCTGTATAGTCAATAGAGTAGCACGGAAGAGACACTGTGACTTCTGAGGCTCAGTCATAAAAAGCATCGCAGCCCACCTTGCTCTTTGGGATCACTTGCTCTGGAAGAAGCCAGCCACCATGCTTTGAGGACACTCAGGCAGCCCTGGGGAGAGGTACATGTGTAACAGGAACTGAGACTCTTAGCTAAAGCCAGTACCAACTCGCTAGTCATGTTTCCTGGCCCTGTCTCGAAGTGTACCTGCCAGCCCCAGTCAAGCCTTCAGATAGCTATAACCCTAGTGGACATCTGACTTCAACCTCAGGAGAGACCCTGAGTCTGACTGACCAGCCGAACCACTCCTGAATTCCTGGCTCATAAAACTGTGAGAGAATAAATGATTATTGATGTTTTAAGCCACAGAGTTTTGGGATGATTTGTTACACAGCATTTGATAACTCAAACCACCATTATAGGACTGTTGGAAAGGAAAACTTCTTGATTTTTTTTTTCTTAGTTAATTACCAGCTGTGTTCAGGGATCTTTTACCTTTTAAGATGGTGCTGCTAGGAAGCTTGGATTAGCAGCAAGAGACTCATGCACCTGTGATACTGGAGTGCTTCTTATTTTCTTTGGGGGTGTGCCTGGGGGCTGATATGGCAGTTTATTATAGTGTGGGGGTCTTGGGTGTACCTGACTCTAGAACTATAACTCTTCCCTGTAGGGCTGGATTATCAGGTGTGTAATTTGGGGATGTGTAGACATGTTGGTCTGGGAGTAGCTTTTAGTAGTTAGAGGAGGAGAAGAGGATGGTAGGAGCAGGCACTTGGGAGATAAGAAGGTCCCTGCAGAGGTGAACTGGGTTCATTTCTCATGGTTGGTTCTTTCCCAGGAAAGAGTTCTAACTTTAGATAGGAGATTATTTTCCAGAAAGCAGATACCACATGCTTTTACCTTCCTCTACTCCTCTCTTTCCTATTCTCCCTTGAGGTAGTGGTCTACTTTGGGAAAGGACTGAAAGCAGGCCTGCTGAGGCTTGAGAAGACAGGAGCTGTATGAGGAGAGCATCCTAGGGAAAGGAACTTTGCATGAAAGGGAGGACGGCCTGGCAGTGGCCTGAGCCACTTGCTTTCTTAGCCTCTTGCTCCTACCCATGCTGTAGAGTCATCTTCTCCACCTCCCCAACCTACTGGAGATTCTGTGATGGGTGTGCTTGGGTGGTGGGTGGGAGTCTTGGTTACGTAGATTCTCTGGAGTTGAGAATCAGGGAGCCATACCCCAATATGCCATATTATCTCCCTTGCTGATGATTTCAGTCACTGAGTAAGCCCAAGCAGGACCTGAGTCTAAAAATCTAACACATCCCTATTGCACAGGATTCAGCCCTCTTCTGAAGCCTCATGGTTGCTGGGTATCTTCTCGATGACATTTCCTGCTTTCTGCTTCCTGACACCTGCCTGTGTATGTTTGTTTCTGAACTTTTCAGTTAGATTATATGCTGAGATAATGATGCAGCTTTGTTCTCTTGTCCTACAGAGGGTTCTGCCAATGTTATTGAAGATGAAGCTTGATTCACGTCTCAGTTTGGTCTGTCAGTATTACCTTTCATTTCTCTTTCAAGGACATTGTTCTTTTAATTTTTTGTTCTTTTTATTAATTTATTGCAGTGCTGAAAATGTAATGCAGCTCAGACTTAACTTACTTGTATCACCAACTTCCTTCCCAGGAAGGAGGAAACCTTCTGGACCCGGTTTGAGGTTGGGCTTCCTGCTGTTCACCAGGATCTGAGCCTGATTAAAGATTATCTCCAGAGTCAATGAACCCTGATGATGTGATTCCAAGGGCACTTAAGGAATTGGCTGCCCTGGTTCATTATTAGTAAAGCATTAGCTGTTGCTGTAGAGAACTCAGGAAGAAGTATTTGCTGTCTTGCTTATCTTTAAAAGGCGAATACGAATGATCTTGGAAATTATAGACCCGTTAGTTTACTGTGATTCCAGAGAAGATACTTGACCTGATCGTCAGATAATCAATCAGCAAACAGCTAGAAGAGCATAGGGTACTGAGTAATAACTTACATGGGTTTGTGAAGAAGAGCAAATCCTGTCAGATCAATCTAACTTCTTGCTGTGACATAGTGATGGATTTGAGTGGATCTAGGGCAAATGATAAATGTAACGCATCTCTACTTCATTAGGTCTCTACAATGCTGTGATCCACAGGTAGGAAGGTGAGTTTGGGGCCAGACATCTCTCTTGTTGAATCGGATTGCTCTCAGGAAGGGGATGGGTGGCCCAGAGTGACTTGAGACTTACTGTTATTGGCAACTTAAAGTCCTCCTCTCTCTCTTTAAAAACAAACAAACAAACAATCAAAAAAAACCTTCCCTAAAGCTTGCTGGTGTTGGAGTCCTGACAGGATTCAGAGAAAGTTGGAAGATGGATTAGGAAAGTTGTCAGTCCCAGATAATGGTGTCCTTCCACTGAGCTCTTCACAGGTCAGGTTCTCATTATAGCCTCTCCATTGTTTAGGTCTTTTGGTCAACATGGCTAGTGAAGGAATTGGAGAGATGCTTAGGATAAGAGGAACAAAAATCATTAAAAGCACAAAAATTAAGACTTATAAAAAAAAATTTAATATAATTTTAGTGACTGATTTTTTTGTCCATACTGGGAAGGAGTTGTTCCAAGGAGTATGATAATGACTTGCTCTTCATTTTAATAAAGACCAAAAAAGAATTTGAATGGGAGCAGGAAAGACTGAGACTTGGGATGAGCGTCTGCTTATAGACGTGACAGTGAAAGAGCTTGAATATGTTGTGCAGGTTAGGTCAGCCCTCCCTAGAGGCTTGGTGACTGTCCACCTGACAGATACACTTCCTGGGCAAGGTCTGGATGCCTCCTGGGGATGCATTTGGACTGTCAATCAGAACCACCCTAGCTCCTCTCCTGCCTGGCTCCCACGAGGTGAACTCGTGAGAACACTGAACACTGCACTTCTGATTCTGCTGGGGGTGTGTCATATCCCTCATTTGTGTAGGAGGCAGGAACAAGTTTTGGGCCAGGGCCTCTCTGATGGCTTGGCATGGGGTTCATTTCTCTCATCTGTGTCTGCCATTCAGAAGTCCCTGAGTCAGTTTGCAGGGACTGTCCAAAGGGATTGCCACCATACAAGTGGACAGGCACAGGCTCAGTTGTGCTTAACAATACTGATTGTAAACGTGGTAAAATGTGGTATTTTCCATTTGTCATAATTTTTGCTGTTTACTTTTGTACTTTGTTCAGATTGCTAAAATTGGAATGGTTGGTTTGCCAGTAACAGGCTTTCACCTTTCTGGTATTTGCACTCATTTTGTTTTATATGTTTTGATTCAGATTGACAGGTATAGGTTGAATATGAGACTATTTTTCATTTGAAAATAGTTTTTCACGTAAGTTAGGTGGATTACCATGTTTTAGAGACTCAGAATGTGAGGTATACAATTCCTTTCTTGCTTTAGGAATTGTTTTTTGACGTGAAAGTAGGTTTTTATCTGGTTGAGAATCGTGACTCCCTTGTCCTCAGCCAGCAAGAGTTCACGTTGCTCGTTTTGGTGTGGATGTGCATCAAATGATGGCGGCTGTGACCCCGAAGCCCAGGGAGCAGCCTGAAAGCTTTGGTGGGAACTTTAATTGTGCCACTTTAACCTGGGGGCAAGTTCTCTCACCACCTCAGTGTTCAGAAAAGCTCGAAGCAAATGTAAGTGAGGAAAATGAGGTGTAGGCCACAACGCGTGGGGAGGAGGAAGTAACCTGGGCTGCCCAGATGGCCAGGGAGGGGAAGCCCAGGGCTCCAGTCTGGGAGCACACGTTCTGGTCGCCACCTCCCCTGCCTCCCTGAATCTGTCCATCAGGCCCCAAGGTGCAGTCTTTTCCTCGCTGCTCTGCAGCAGCCCCCCTGACTGTTGTCCTTCCCAGCTGTATTCAAGTGCCCATAACTTTGGAGAAGAATGACCTTTAGGGTTGAGGTTTTCTGGTGTTTGCTCTTTGTCCACAGGGGCTTTTTTTTTTTTTTTTTAAGGGAACCTTGGAGAGATTCCATCTGCATTTTGAGTTAGAACTATGAGTAAAGGCATTTCTTTTCTATAGAAAGTTGTCCAGATGCTGGGTTATTTGGCGAGGGCAGGGTTGGGGGAGGGTTAATGGTGATAGGAGAAGGGATAATATAGAAGAGTGGCATTTGGTAGATTTTTGGTGTGATTTTTGATGTGAAGCTGACTCCTCATTATTAGTCTTATGAAAGAGACATTTTGGAAAACTTCACAGGAAATTGATTACGATCCCTACAAATCACACTGTATTGGTCTCCTTCTCTTCCATTCAAGGCTGAGCAGCAGGAGGCCCCTACCCTCTCTACCCCGCCCCCCCCCCACCTGATACACACACATTGCTGTTGCTCTGTATTCAGCTTCTTCCCTTCTCTGCTTCTGGTTCCTGCACTTTGCAAGTGGATGGAAAGGTCATTCCCTAGAGAAAGAATTCACCCCTTCCTTGCCTTTCACTCGTCCTGGTCCAGGTTCCTCCAAGTGTGAGGGGTCAGGTCAGGCTTTTTAGCAGGAGG